GACTTATAGTTCGAGAATATGTTAAAATTATTTATTGCATTAGATGTATGGATTGAAAGAATTATTCAATTTTACACTAGACGCCTGGACCACCGGGGAGGGGGGGTATAAAATTTAATAAGTTCTTTGCTATCATGATGGTTGAACTCAACTATGCCAATAGGATCGACCTGACTACCAGGGGACTATTTGACATAGAGCTATTTAAAGAAATTTGTATGGGAATATAATTGGTAAGAGTACCTACCTTTAAAATATATGTGAGAAACAACTTGACTTCCAAGGGGCTCATACATATTGTTAAAGGATTCCTTTACTCCACTAACAGAAATAAAGATTTCGTAAATTATAATGAGGGTAAATAGTTTAAAATAATTAGTGGAAATATCATTTAGATAAAAATTCATATCTTTATGATATATGCAAATATGTTCTTATATTATTGCCTTTTCTTTTTTATATTTTAGATTTCTCAATATGTCTGCTATATAACTGCGTGGAATACTTGAGACCAACAAGTTGGTAGGACCAAACTTTAATGATTGGTATATAAATTTGAGAATTGTTCTCATGCATGAAAAGCTTATTGATGTGATCGATAAGCCTGCCAAGGAAGTCCCATATGAGGATGATGATGATGATGCCAAGATTTATCAAAAATACTTGGAAGAATGTCTTACTACCAAATGCATCATTCTCGCTTCTATGAATTCTGAACTACAGAGGAAACATCAGGATATGGATCCAATTGCAATCATTGAACATCTTAAGAAGATGTTTGGTACACAAAGCAGGACAGCTAGATACCAACTATCCAAGGCTTTATTTGGATCCAAATTGACTGGAAACTCTCCAGTTGGACCATATGTCAATCATATGATTGATCTCATTGAAGAACTTGAGAAGGTGGGGTGCAAATTGGGTAAAGAGCTTTCTCAAGATTTAATCTTGAAGTCACTATCAGAATCCTTTTCACAATTTGTTATTAATTTCAATATGAATAAAATGGATTGTGATCTTCATGAGATGCTTAACATGTTGATTGATTATGAGAATCAACTTGCATCTGAGAAGAAGAAAGGAACTGTCATGTTGATTGGAAACTCTTCTAAAAAGAAGGGTAAGCGTAAAAGTAAACCCAAGAAAAAGGCCACTGCGCCAAGGGTGGTATGACCAAACCCAAAGGCAAAGAAGGCAAAGCTGACCAATCTGATGTTGTATGTTTCCATTGTAAGAAAATAGGACATTGGAAGAGAAACTGCCATGAGTATCTTGCAACTTTAAAGGACAAAAAACAAGGTAAGACTTTAATGAAAAATGTTTTCAAGGTTTCTTTAACTACTACTAATTCTTTATTGTGGGTATTAGATACTGGCAGTGGTTATAATATCTGCAATATGTTGCAGGGGTTCCAGATAAGTAGAAAGTTGAAGAAAGGAGAAATTAATCTACAAGTTGGAAATGGTGCAAAAGTTGCGGCCATAGCTGTATGATCAATTTCTTTAATAATGCCTACGGGCAAAGTACTTATGTTGGATGATTGTTATTACATTCCTAAATTTGTTTCGAACATAATTTCAGCTTCTACGTTAGACAAACGTGGTTTTCGCATTAATATAGGCAATGGTATTTGCTCTATTTATTATAGTGATAATTTATATGTGAATGGCTATCTCCAACATGATGTTTATGTCTTGCTTAATGTGAATGCTAATTCGATTGTGCATGTTTCAAGTCTTAAGAGGAAAAGAGATGATCATGTAAATTATACATGCCTTTGGCATTGTAGGCTTGATCATATTGTAGAGAAAATAATTAACAAGTTGTACAAGGAAGGGTACCTTGACAATTATGATTTTGAATCATATCCAACTTGTGAATCTTGTCTCAAAGGAAAAATGACCAAATCTCCATTTACTGGAAGTGGAGAAAGAGCTTCTGAATTATTGGGACTAATTCATACAGATGTTTGTGGGCCCATGAAAATTCAAGCTAGAGGTGGATATTCGATCATCATCACCTTCACTGATGATATGTCAAGATATGGATTTTGTGTATCTTATGAAATACAAGTCTGAATCTTTTGAAATGTTCAAAAGGTTCTGAAGTGAAGTTGAGAAGCAGACTGATAAAAGTATCAAAGTACTAAGGTCTGATAAAGGTGAAGAATATCTTAGTGGAGATTTTACCAGATATCTTAAAGAGAATGAGATTCTCTCACAGTGGACACCTCCAGGAACACCACAACACAATGGTGTGTCTGAAAGGAGAATCGAACCTTATTAGATATGGTGAGATCTATGATGGGGTTTACTGATCTTCCAATAAATTTATGGGGATATGTTTTGGAAGCAGCAACATACTTACTTAATAAAGTTCCCACTAAGTCAGTCTCTACAACACCATATGAGATATGGAAAGGATGTAAGCCTAACCTTAAACATATTAAAGTTTGGGGTTGTTCAGCTTATGTTAAGAGACTATAGTCTGATAAACTTGACTCAAGATCTGATAATTGTAGGTTCATTGGGTATCCCAAGGAAATAATGGGATATTATTTCTATCACCCTTCTGACCATAAAGTGTTTGTGGCCAGAGGAGCACCCTTTTTGGAAAGGGAATTTCTTTTAGAAGGAAATTATAATGGAAAAATAGAACTTGAAGAAGTTCAAGAAACTAAAGAATTAACACAATATAAAGATCATGAGACGCAAGTTGAAGAACCTTTATTGGATGTTTTGAAGTTGCCAAGGAAGTTGCCATCTTCAACGGTT